TTTCTCTTGCTTATCTTCCCAGTCAAGGGCCACCCCCTGCTGGGTCAAAGTCGTAAGGGTTTCTGTAATTTGCAAGGAGTTCTGGATGAACTATGACAGTATGTCTGTAAGACCTAGAATTTGGTGAATTTATGTTGGCGTCTTCGGTGACGACCAATTCCCAATGGTTTTGGATAAATTGACAGAGTACTCATGGATTTCCACATCACTAATAGTGTGCCTTCAGAATTTGACTCTCCAATTCCAAAACTCGTGTTCAGAGAACTTTACGAAAAGTATCTTCGATGGTAATCTTTCCGCGGGTTCCTTCTGACTATGAGGGTAGATAAGTAAGTCGTTACATGGAGAATGAGGAACTGATCCAAGTAAGAAAGACGGACCCTATTCATTAAACTAATGAATGCTTCGGGCGTATTGGTCCTATCTGAGGGGTATCACTACGGACTCGAAGTGTTCGCATCGAGTTCGGAAGGTAGTCTTCCGGACATCATTCCCTAACACTCAAACTGGTGATATTCGGATCTCAGGTCTATTTCTGAAAGTAATTCTTTCCTTTCATTTTCTCAACCAATTCATCTATGCGAGGCAGAGACAACGATTTCTAACGGAAAACCTTTACGGAGTCCTCGATATCTGAGGTACATACGATGCAATCCGTCGACCTCTGGAAGAATAAGACTGGAGCTCTCCAGGGTGAGAAGCTTGATCTCCCAATTCTATTGCTGAGTAGTTCGCTAACTTGTCCGGACTGTTCTTGTATTTCCGTAGGGGTTCAGACTGTAGGGTGATCTGGTTATAGGAGTCATACTGGACTCTAAGTTTCTTCACATGACAATGGGATTACTCGTAGTCTTGGGCAGTTCTCCATCCTGAAGTTCATATTAGAATTCATACATGGTTCAACGATCACCATCTCGTGTATACGAGTCGTATATAATTAAGATTGAAAAGATAGTCGCACTACTGATTCTTCTTTAAGCTCACATTCTATCGAGGAAAAAGAAGTTAAAGTGGAATCATCAATTCTAAACCTGTAGAACCTTGATTATATAGCACCCCTATGTATACATTCTTCAGCGACAGATCAACCGTATGGATCTTTGGATTGAACTTGACGTACTGTACGAGTGGTACATCGGGGATTTCTTCGGAAAGGAAAAGAACTATATGGTACTCTGTGCATGAGTACTTCGGTGTTCTGATATGACGGCTTCGCTGAAAAGGCGATTTCGAAGAAAGAGATGTACGTATGAAGCTGGTTTTGTGCGGATCGAATTGAATCGAGTCGTATGATAATGTCGAAATTATAAAGAAACTTAAAGACATTAGATTTGAACATAAGGAATTACAGACAAAACACAATCGTGAAACCATCAACAGAATTACAATACTTTATATTTACTACAAGACTATTATTGCGAATAAGGTATACTACCAAAGACAAGTATACGCAGCACAAGCATCCCTATACCGACAGGATCCCGCAAAAGATAAGACT